GACCAAAATGCATTTGCCGATACATGAAAGCGTTCTGAAATAATGCCTTATCGAATATCATCCAATGCAATATTATCCTTGAAGATGCTGTTCCTGATTATTGAGGAATAGCACCTCGAAATTATTACATTTCTCACGCGATTTCATTTGTTTATCATCATTTGCATCATGTAAAACCTCAAGTGCTCCTCCACCATTGCTCTGAACTCTTTTAAAAGGGAAGTTTAGCAGATGCAGCACATCGATGTTGTTCATCTGCGAATTTCCGTTTACTTCTAGCGTTTGATGCTGTTGCAAGTTTCTTTAGTGAGGTTAGTTTTGAGACGTTCAGCCGTATTCATTTATCATTTCCTCTGAAGCAATCCTTTACAAAGGAGTAGTGCTACGCGGTGCATCACATATGTTGATGCTTGCATTTCCTGCTTATCAGTAAATACAAAGTCTATGTTTACATTACCCTATCGATTCAAATATTTTCTTACAGTTCATTTTTTACTGCCGCTCATTTTCGAATTGATAGTAAATTATTAACCTCCATCATCAGTTTCTTACGTGCATCATCCATAATTACGTGAGAGTACTTATTAAGAAGGCAATAATGAAAGCTATTCTCGCTTTACTTCTTAGTCACTTGAATTTTTTTGCATCCGCAGTGTTCTAATCGCATTCAGATGAGTTTATCAATAGTTGAAATTCATTACTGAAATAATTGATCGCTTCAGTCTAGCAAAGTGCTCCCAAATTTTGACGAATACAATTCAACTTGTTGAAAATTTATTTATGATTCATATTTGTTGGTTAATCGATGATTCATAGATCTGTCATTTGGTGTGATTGAACAATAACATCGATTATCCGCACTTTTTCTGTAGTAACCTGTGGATATGATGCGTTTCGGATGAACTCAGTTTAATGAATGCTATTAATTGGGAATGTTGTGTTATGCAATTCGAACGTTATGCAGTTCAATGTTATGTGGGTAGTTCAATCGAATTGCAATGCAATCTCAGATTATGTCAACGGAATGTTTGCAAAGCGTTCGATGCTAACCACACCGATGACCTTCCTTCCCTCATTTGTCGTCATTTCTATTTCAGATGTCCGTCGCGACGGCATCATCGCCCAACTACGACGTACCACGTCCATCAGCTGAATGTGCTCTTAGACTCGAGGCTTGGTATCATGGACAGTTGACACGTGTTCGTGCCGAATCACTTGTTCGAGCCGAAGGCGACTTCTTGGTGAGATTTGGCTTCGTTTATACGTTCACTATGCAAAATTTTATATGTGACAATTCAAAATTCGGTGTGTCATTAGTCGCAAACGCTTCGTTTATTCCGAGTTTTTACACAATCGTCTACTTTGCATCGATTTAAATCTAATGTAAACAGTTGGTATTGGTGATCAGTGACCAGAAATTCCTATGTGCA